AATGAAAAATCACTTCTATCCCTTATATTAATTAACAAACCCTCTGATGGTGGATTTTAATAATGATATTCGAAGGGCTAAGTAACCACCCCTGGAATTTCAATTTCTGATTAAGCGTCTTCAAACACCACTTGTGTTAAGTGGGAATAAATTAGAATTAATCTGTGCACAGGTTTATCGCATACCTGATACTGAAGTATTTTGCCCATGAATTACCTCATGGACATGATAACAGAAGTCATAATGAAGAAGCCGATCAATATATTTTATTTTAAGGTCTTTGTATCCACATTTTTTTAACTAGGAGGAAAGACAGAGAAAGAATAATTTGTACCTACTTAAATTTAGAATATAAAAGAAAACCGGGAAAGGCCACTGTGCTATGTATAGAAGCCTCAGAAGCAAGTAAGAAAAAAAAAAGAAATTAATCCTTAGAATGAGTTCCAGGGGAAAGGATCATTATGCTTCCCTTAGCTTATTTGGAGTCATTGGTGGTACATGTACTGCAAATATCTGAGGAAATTGAAAAGCAATGCAGGGGCGCCTGGGTGGCTCAGTTGTTAAGCGTCTGCCTTCGGCTCGGGTCATGGTCCCGGGGTCCTGGGATCGAGCCCCGCATCGGGCTCCCCGCTCAGCGGGAAGCCTGCTTCTCCCTCTCCCACTCCCCCTGCTTGTGTTCCCTCTCTTGCTCTGTCTCTCTCTGTCAAATGAATAGAATCTTAAAAAAAAAAAAAAAAAATCTTTAAAAAAAAAAAGAAAAGCAATGCAAAGCACGTGGCCAGGGCCACCAAGCTGGGGATGTTAGCTGCTGTCAACAATACTTAGGTCCATGGCTTAGGACAACCGGATGTGTTTTTGCTTTGATTACCTTTGAAATTTCTCTGAAGGCTCAATAGATACTGTGCAGTCTCCTCATTTAGGCTGCTTTCAACCCAGGTTTCAACTTTATTACTGTGACAAGCAATTTTTATTAATAATTAACCAAAGAGTGGGATGAAGAAATTCATGCCTTTCCTGGGAAAAAATAGTACAGCTTTTCAAGTGAAGCCTGTTTGTTCACCAGGTCTTACCGGCTGAGTTGTGTTCCCTCAAAATTCATACGTTGAAATCCTAACCACCAATACCTCAGGATGTGGTTATATTTGGAGATAAGGTCTTTATAGAGGTAATGAAGTTAAAAAGAGGTCATCATGATCGTCCTAATTCAATATGACTGTTGTCCGTATAAGAAGGGGAAGTTTGGACATAGATATGGAAAACACAGGGAGAAGACCACCATCGACAAGCCAAGGAACGAGGCCTTGGAAAAAACAGACCCTGCCGACACCTTGATCTTGGACTCCTAGCCTCCAGAAGTGTGAGAAAATAAATGCCTGTAGTTTAAGTCCCCCAGGCTGTGGAACTTCGTTATGGTAGCCCAGGCAGACGAATACAACAGGATTTTTACTGTGTCACTGATGGTCCCAGGGGGAAGCAGACAGACGTGTGGGGAGTCTAGTGGGTCACATACATGCAGTGAGGCAGGAGAGGAAAACCTCAAGGCACAGTCCAGGGCCCTGAATCTGATACAATTGAGGAGGGAGCTATCACCACCAACAGGCCTCAAGCAGCAAGGAGAGGGAGTGGGTCCAGGAACCCAGAAAAGGAGTTTCTGTACAGAGAGAGATGCCTAACAGGTGCTTCTCTTTCTGGCCGCTCTCCAGCCAATGCTTCCCACTGACCACACCCAACTCATAGGCAGAGGGCACGGATGCCTATCAAAGCATCTGGAAAGGACAAGCTCCTGGGTCTCAGAGCAAGGTGAAAAAGAAGGGTAGAGAGTGGACATAAAGAGGCAATGGAAAATGTCCAGCCAGGGGTGTATCTGGATTTTTAACAGAGGCACACCTTCCTCATCTCATTGTCTCTACTGGGCTCATGGGTTGGTGGAAGTTCTGTAATCTCTGGAATAATGAGTCCATTTCCATTCACTAATGGACTTGATGCGGGTTTCAGAATATTCGTGCCAATAATGCACAGGGGTATGGAGGAAGGTGTGGGGGACAGGAGGCAACAGTTGAAGGTCAGAGATCTAGTGACATAGCAAGATTCACAAAGTGAAAGTTCAAAGCTTATGTACATTGTCTATGAAGTGATAGAATAGTTGAAGGTAGACTATGATAAATTAAAGATACATACTATAATTTCTAGAGTTATGCTGCCCCAACAAACCTTTCCACAGTGATAGGAACAGTCTAAATTTGTGCTATCCAATTGGTAGCCACTTGCCACATGGATCATAGCCCTAAAGTGTGAGGATAAGAACAAATCTAAGAAAGAAAAATTAAATTTTTTCTTGGTACAAAAAGGGAGACTTGCCCTCCCCGTTCCTCTTCCTCAGAGCATTTACTTTAGAAGACTTATCATTGCTAATTCTTTCTTTGCCCTTTTCAGATAATATAGAAGTCTTTTTAAAACTAAATGAGATTTGGGGCGCCTGGGTGGCTCAGTCCTTAAGCATCTGCCTTTGGCTCAGGTCATGATCCCAAGGTCCTGGGATCGAGCCCCGCATCGGGCTCCCTGCTCAGCGGGAAGCCTGCTTCTCCCTCTCCCACTCCCCCTGCTTGTGTTCCCTCTCTCCCTGTGTCTCTCTCTGTCAAATAAATAAATAAAATCTTTTAAAAAAAATAAAATAAAACTAAATGAGCTTTTTGTCAGCTTTACAAGCAGCCATGTCTTTCTCTAAGGCCTGGGACTCATCTCTTTGAACCTCAAAGATGAGAACATCAAGGAAGATAGTATCTCAATCTCCTCTTCTCCATGGGCATCTGGATCCAGACTGTGACTAATTACCCATCATGGAGATATTAGAAGCCTTATTATTTCTTTGGACAAAGGCAATCAGCAACACAATGGCCACCTCAATTGCCAGGTGAATTTAAGATGAACTGTGTATGACCGATGGTGCTGGCAAGTCTTGCTTGAGGGCAAGTTCTCATTATGTTGTGAACATGCATGTAATGGGTTGTGTCTGCCGGGCTATATAAAAAAGTGAGATTTCTGTCTTTGCAATTTCTTTTTTTTTTTTTTTTAAGATTTTATTTATTTATTTGACAGAGAGAGAGACAGCGAGAGAGGGAACACAAGCAGGGGGAGTGGGAGAGGGAGAAGCAGGCTTCCCGTGGAGAAGGGAGCCCGATGCAGGGCTCGATCCCAGGACCCTGGGATCATGACTTGAGCTGAAAGCAGAAGCTTAACGACTGAGCCACCCAGGCGCCCGTCTTTGCAATTTCTTTATGGCTTGCTGTGATGCACATCCTATTCCGGCATAATGCTTATTCAGTAATAACACTATTTTCTTTCTCTTCTGCTCTTGTGGAGAGTTTTTTTTGGGGGGGGGTTGGCAGGAGATTTTTTAAAATTGGATTTTAAAATTGGGGTTGATAGAGGAGCCACGGTGGAATCCCAGAACATTCAACACACAAAGGAAGGCAGGAAAGGAGCAAATGAAAAACAAACAGATGGGATGAAGAGAAAACAAATACCAAGATGGCAAACTTAAGCTCATCAGTATGAATAATTGCTGCAAGTAGACTAAAACCCCCCCATTCAAGGTTAGGAAGTGTTCAAATGGATAAGCAAGCAAGACCCATCTCTGTACGTATAAGACATATATTATAAAGTTGAGAGTAAAAAGATCCAAGATATAAACTATGCAAACACTAAGCACAATAAAACCAGTGAGGCAATATTAATGTTAGGCAAAGCAGATTTCAGGACAAAGAATATAATCAGAGACAAAAGAGAGATATTCCATAAGGATAAAAGGGCCAATTCTTTGAAGAGATACAATCATGCTAAATACATCTGTACCCATTAACACCGGTCTAACAAATTTCATGACACAGGTAGCAAAACTAGAAAAAAATTAAACGAGGAGTAGGCAGAGCCACAATCAGCCGGAGATTTTAATATCCCTCTCTCAGGAATTAATAGAAACAGTAGTCCAAAAAATCAGCAATGATAAAGAGGACTTGAACTCCACTAAAATACCGAAGCCAAGAAATTGTGTTACGTTAAAGAGGTTAAGATTTGATCACCTTAACCCTGTCTCTGGAAGCACCTCATTTCCAGGTGTTACTTGATAAGCAACATCCGCCTGTAGACATTTTGATGTGGTGGTGATTGGGATATGGTCTGTAGAGATCAACTAAAAATTGCTCCCATGCGCCACTTGGGGTGGGAGCCCTGAGGTCACAGAAATACTGCACGGTCTTTATGCTTTAGGATGTCTTGATGTGCCAGTGTTGTGAAGTATTTATTAATGTGACATGTTATAGTATAGGCAAAAAGAAACTCTGACCTTTTCTCTTGTGAACTATAACAAGTAACTAAAGCAGCTTCTTAACACTGAGTGATTTCATCTCTTTGGGTTAGATGCACGAGCTTTCTTTAGCTGAACCCAACAGCTTCCTCCAATGTTACTTTGTGGGCAGAAAGCAAACTCCAGTCCCTTAGGAACAAGGTTGCCAGACTTGGCAAAGAGAAATACGGAGTGCCCAGCTAAATTTGAATTTCAGATAAACAACAGAGATTTTTTTACTTTAGGACATATTTACACTAAAATATATCTGAAATTAAAATTTCAGCAGGCCTTCTGGAAATGATGTTTTCATGTAAGCAGTTCTTTTTTTTTTTAAAGATTATTTATTTATTTATTTGACACAGAGAGAGAGACAGTGAGAGTGGGAACACGAGCAGGGGGAGTGGGAGAGGGAGAAGCAGGCTTCCCGCCGAGCAAGGAGCCTGATGCGGGCCTCAATCCCAGGACCCTGGGATCATGACCTGAGCCGAAGGCAGACGCTTAACCGACTGAGCCACCCAGGCACCCCAATGTAAGCAGTTCTAATTCAAATACCAAAGTCAAAGAAACGCCTGTTTTCAGGGGAGATCTCTCTTCTGATGCAAAACTATAGTCCTTGTAAAATATGACGGAACAATAAAAAGATGATGGAAAAGGGTCACTCTAAAGGTCATCTTTTTATTTAAATATTTCATGATGATGCACGTACAAATATAATCTCCCAAGGAACAAATGTAAAACCTAATACAAATCACCATTTCAGGTACAAAAAAACCATTTAGAAAATGTGATTATGCTACATACAAGAGAGACAGGTTAGGTTTTCTGAGTCTGTCCAAGGAGGACGGTTAAGACCAAGTTTGGATTTTTGGAGTCCGCAGATCATATTCACATTTCACACAGTAGTGAAATTCCTGTTGCATATATAGCAAAATATAACTACTAAGTATATAATGGGGGGGGGGAGCAACAATTACTAAGTAGAGTAAAAAACTTAGATCATGGAAGACTGACCTTCACCTTGGCCACACACTTAATGATATTTAAAAATATATGCCTTTTGCCCATATCCAGTCAGTAGCGGAAAAACATATCAATCTTTTGTATAACATAATTCAGGTAAAAAACACGTCTAAAAAAAGAATTTTTAAAGATTCATTTCCCTAGCAAAATACCTTGAAAAATAAAAAATTTACATAGTCTTTAATTTTGTTGTGGGAAATATTCACATCAACTGTTACTGATAAGCACGCATGCTTTGAAACTTTAAATGAACTATTTTTTCAAGGAGCAATGAAAGCGTAATCTACTGAGAAGCCAAAATACCCAAATAACTTTTCAAAATGAAAGGCAAAAGGATGTTGTACAATTTCAGGCCATATGTTCAACTGAATGATCTTTAATATTTAATATTCACGTAGTAAGTCAGGACTGGGCAGTCAGCGACTTTGAGATGTAGAATAAAATCATTTCAAACTCACAATTACCGACAGTATAGGGTTTTTCAGTATTTTTTGCAACTGTAAACAAAAAAGGATGGTTTCTAAAATTTGGTTTGATGCCACAGTATTTATTTGGCACTCATGTCATGTACTGAGGATACATAGCTGTGAAACAGGCAGGTTCTTACCACGGCGGAGAAGAAGCCAATCTGGTGGTTAAGTTAGCTGTACAGAATTAGAAGATAATGTATCCTGAGTTTGTAAAAATAGTATATTACTCTAAAAAGTAAAGTGATTTTATATTTATGAATTTTGCCCTGGATTATTCAACTGAATTTGAAGTGTTCATTATTTTCATGATTTTGGGGAGACACAGGGAAGCAATAATGTTATTTTTATGGTCATACAACACACACGCACAGAGACCTACAACGTGTGCTCTTTACTGTGTCAATGTCCCCAAATTCAATCATCCTAAAATAGATTAAAAGGCCAGGCCTCTAGTCTTCAAACAGTCGTCCAGACTGTGCACGTGGTTTTGGAGAAATGAGGTGTTGATAACCTGCTGGGGGCTGTCAAGTATGGGATACAGAACGGCAACGTTCAAGGTGAATGCAGTAGGCCAAGAGGCCCAGTCAGCTTCATGGGTGGCTGGACTGCACAGCGGAAGCCCTGGCTACTCTGTGTCCATTTGGTGAACTCTTGGAAGCTGGACTGACTCTCTAATTTGCTTTGTGAATATTGTTTGGCCATAACTCACTAAAAGGCACTTAAGACATCGCATCGTCCTTATGCCTTCAGCAAACCCTGGAGCATTTCTGAAGCCCACCCCTGGAGGCTAGGACGGCAAGGCTGGTTGTGTATTAGTGACTGAGAAGAGTTTTAAGCCCGATGTGTATGTCTCGTAAGTCTACAGGCTCATCAGAAGACAGGCCTGTTGAAACTGTGAAATGGGACTCCGGGTCAGACCGTGGCGGACTACGGTTCAGGAGTAAGAATGCTGCACGATGCTGTGCTTGGAGACTCTGGTAGACGTGGTGCGAGTAGAATTAGAATGACCAGACTCCTCTAAACTGAAATTTGGCAGGGGGCCATGGACTGCGTCACCAGAAACCTCTGTCTTTCCAGCCATCACCGAGGTTTCGGCAGGAAATTGGTAACTGGAGGCGGGGATTCGCTCCCTTTCTGTCACTGTCAGGTTCGGTCCCACTGCCACAGCGGCCGCAGCCAGCGGGGGCTGCAGCCCTGAACTGGGGGCAAGGAAGCGCTCTCTCTCCCTCACCATAACGTAATGCGCATCTGGCAGATGCTGAGAGCCTTCCAGAGGACCAGGTAGGCCCCCGTTAGGCTGAATGATTCTCTCAGTAACCACAACACTACTCTCATTAGCATAATGCTGCTCCGCGAAGGGAGGGCCCGGTGCGTACGTCTGCTCCGTCGCAATAAGGGTCTGGGACGGGCCAGGACCCAGGATCACGGTGCTTGGTGGCATCGTGGAGCCTGTGATGTAGGAAGTTTCCGTCACTACAACGTTACCAGAAGCCAATGGATCAGGGAGCAGCGTAGCTACCTTTTGACTCTGCCTAGAAGATACGGAGCTTTCAGTGACTATTTCCTGAGTTACTTTCTCTGCATTTGCTTCATGCAAAGGTTCTGGAACCTGAAAGCTATTACCAGAGAAGCAGGCATTCTCCGAATTAATCCTGGTTTGCTCACTGAATGAATGTGAAGCTGCCTTCGTACTTGACGCTCCCACAGGTTTTTGCCTCTGCTCAGTTTCCCCATCCATATCTATTTTGTGACCCAAGCAAATTTCAGCTAGTGTCCTGAATTTAAACCCTAAATCATCTAGAGAGCGATCATCGAGTTCTCCTTCAATAAAACTGCAGCAGCCAATGGAACCATGGAGAGACGCAGTGTCTTCCTGAGAATAAACCAGAAGGCAATCTTTGCCTATGTGAATGTCATCTTCTTCAGTGCAAGAGGCAGCTTTCTAAAATGGAAATAAAACACAGAGGCGTAGAATTAGTGACACAACTTCATTTAAGAATAAGACTATGTTCTTGCCCCAAATGCATAACCTGAGTCTCCTTATGAGAAAACATCAGAGAAACACAAATGGAAGGACATCCTACAACATGGCTGGCACGTACTCTTAAAAAAAAAAAATTCATATTGTGAAAGATAAGAAAGGCAGGACTCTGAATTAGGTCTTGGACGGGAAAAACAATGGCTACGAAAAGACATTATTGGGATAATTGGCGAAATTGAAATATGGAATATGGCACTATTAAATCTCTAAATTTGTTCACTGTATTATATTAAGAAAATGTACATGTGTGTGTGAGAGAGAGGGGGAGAGATTAAGAAAGCAAATAGCAAATAGCAAAGGGTTAATAATTGGGTAGTCTGGGTAAAGAATATACAGGAGTTCAAAATTTCTATTGTTCTTGGAAATTTTCTGGTAAGTGTGAAATGATTTCTGAATAAAAAATTGCTCACATACACACACAGCCAAGTCTGACTGGAGCAGGATTCGAGTGGAGAGGGAAAACTATCAAAATGAAACTAACAGGGGACCCCAGACTGGAGCTTGGCAGTGAGACAGAAAGAGGATGAGGAGAAGTGGTTTTCCTGACATGGACCGCATCACCACCTTCCCGTCAAGCTAACAGGTGGGCAGATGGTCTGAAAGAAAACGCGGGGGGTAGGAGACAGGAAGAGCAAAAGCACTCCGGTAATTGGTTATCACGTAGAGAGGGGACAGAAATAAACTGGCCTCCTTAGAAGCCCATCCCTTCACTCATCTCAAGTGTCCTTCAGATGCCCAGCACTCTGACTCTGCCCATCCCTGTGTGGGACACATGGGTCTTCTTCTCAAGAAAGGTACCCAGCCCCGCTTCTAATTCCTCATTCCAGGCATAAGCTTTCTGACTACATCCCATCATCTTTCCTACACCTGTCCTCCTGATTTTTTAAGAACTTCCTCAATAGTGAGGCCAAGTAGACAAAATGTAAACGCACATAATAGACTGTGATTGCTAGGTCACGTATTCTCTCTGCTCCCTGCGGGCTCATCCCTATCAGGTCTGCTCTGGCAGAGGAACCGTGCTCTGGAGCCACTGACATCTGGCTTCGTCACGTGACTCGCTCTGACCAGTGAAATGTGAGCCCCCCTCAAAGGTAGCTGTTTGAGGAGCCGGTCGTTGCCTGGTTCTGCGTGGCTCTGTTCCCTGTTCCCCGAGGACCGCACCTGCCCAGTCCAATCTGCTCTCTCCGAGTGCAGCTTAGAATGAAGGCAACACGGAGAAGAGCAGAGTTGTGTCAACTGACGAAAACAGGCCTGTGAGAAATAAGCTTCTGCAAGAAGTGAGATTGTGGGGTCATTTGCTATCACTGCAGAATGGAGCTGATTTAATGGGCCACATCTGTCTTTCCTCTCTGCCTATAAGCATTCTCTTAAAAAACGACCCAGTCCTATTTAGATCCAAGGCGATGATTACCTGACTAATACCACAGTCACATATAAATGTCCCCCTGCACCAGCACCTATAAAAACCAACCCTTACCTCAATGAAATAACTTCTTAAGAATTCTTCGTTGGCTGCAACAGTAGCTGCTCGAGCTCCGGCCAGGTCTCTGGAAGACCCTGTGACTTTTGTGATCCTTGTCATTTCAGCGCCTATGTTGGCTCCTGTTGTCCCTGTCACTTCGGTAACTCCACCAGAAATCAGGCTTCTGTGTTCCTCCCATCTTCCATCCACCTCAGCCATCTCATGATGCCCTTCGAGGAAGGCACCTCTACTTTCTTTTGTGGTTTCCTTGGTTGTTACACTTCCCACTCTCACGTCGACGGCTACACCCTCTCCGTGATCTGCTGTCATATGCAAAGGAACCACCTGTGACAGCAAATACAGTGGAGGGGTGAGAAGGATGGAGGGTCGGTACAAGTGGTAAAAGGATCTGAGCTAAGCAGGCAGGCGAAGGGAATAATAAGCTATTTCCACAGAGGCAACCCAGGAAAAATATTTTGGGTTGAATAACTTGTATTTGAGTCTTCTGAAGATCTCCACTCCACCTTCGTGTTTTGTCAGCTGATCATAACCCAAGGGGAAAACAAACATTATTTAAATATGGTCTCAGCTCATTTACTTTATTGGCATCAATGGCATTTCAACTTTCCTCTAGGGTTTAATGCCTCCTTCTATAGTTATTAAATTTTTTTTTTTCTTAGCTGGTCATATGGTTGCTCCAAATAAAGACTATCTTTCCAAGCCTCCACTGCTACTCAGAAGGGCTACCTGACTAAGTTCTGGTTAATGTGATTCCAAGCAGAAATGGGGTAGGCAACTTCTGGGAAGTGTTCTTTAAGAACATTTCTCCCAATCTGCTTTTTGGAATGTGGAGGCAGCAGCTAGTGTCTGGAGCATGAAGACAGCATGGGAGTGGAACTCATCCACGGAGGAACAACAAGGAAGGAGGAGCCGGGACCATATTGTAGAGGAATCATCATGCTGGTCCTTGACTGCCCACATTCATATTTAAGCCTCTGTTATTCTGAGTTCTCTGATGCTTGATGCTAAATCGTGTCCTATTGAACACAATGCTTATTGGAGATGGTGATGACAGGCCCGGGGTGAAGACGCAACAGACAGACAATGGAATCTCCTCCTGTCTATTAAGTAGGGAGGAGAGGAGATTTTGCAAAATCTTATAACTGTTCCGGGGGTGGTGGGTTTACCTCTCCCAACCCTATGTATTGAGAGGAACGGAAATGGAGAAGCACATCCTTCATTCCCTGACCCTTTCTTAACATTCTCTGTAACATAGGACCTATCACAGTAGAATAAGACCACTTCAACTCTGCCCTGGCAATCAACACAAAATATGTGGTCATTTGAACTCTTTGTTTTAACAAAGATATGTGAATGAAATCTATAATGACTACGTTACTCTCTCATGACTTAAAATGTTAGAAACAGTTCCCAAAGGCCCTTAAATGGGGAAAGAAGACAAGTTCCACTGATTAGATATCTGATTGTCTGACCTTGTCTTCAGGTGGCGCCCCTTCATTATTCCAAGGATGCAGCATCTCTATAGTGCCAGGAATGGGGGTGAAGCCTTTGGCGCCTTCTCCACAATGGCACATCAGCAGTAAAAGTGGTACAACTGGACAGAAACAAAATTGAGTCCAGAGAAGGTTAGTCCCGACATATTTCTAAATTTATATTGCCTAATTTTGGAATTTGCATTTTGCTTCCTAATTAGAGTTCAGTCTTCACTTATTTACAGTCCTATTTTTGCATTTTTCTTTTCTTCACTCTGATCCAGCCTCACCAAGCTTGTTTTGGGGAATCATATCAAAGCCTAAAGGCAGCATGAGGGAGTCCTCATTCATCACAAAAAGGCTGTATGTGCTTGCTGGATGGAGCACCAAGGCTGGATTCCATAGCATACAAATCATCAAAGCCAATTTAGAGACTTAAATCTTCTGTTGTTCTTTTAAATCACTTTTTTAATATAAGAAAATTCACTATCCAAAAAAAATATATATGTTAAAAAGATCAAACGCTCCGAGGGGTAGGAAAATTTTAGTATGTTCAAATATTCTAGAACATTGGAACTTCTAAAATACTTTGCCACTTCATCCTGGAGTAGAATTTAGCAGAAGGCATAGCGAACTGAGGATCAAATTAACATTTGAATTAACCTGAGGATTATTTTCGAGAATGACTCTACATTAAAAGCCCTTAAAATACATATAACATTTCATCACGAATTCAATAAGATTTCAGAACTCCCTCCTTAAATTTTATTCTACCTCAGGGAGGAAGTGAAAGCCAAAGTTGTCTTCTTGATCAATGTAGTCAAGAATTAATTACACCTGAGGACAGTCCTTCTCCAATTAGCTTTTACTACCACTTCCATTTGGCAGCTTCCAGTTGATGAATTGACTATTTCCTAGATTCCCTTTTGTGTGAAATAGCCGACAGCTCAGTAAATACAGCCACTGTGAGTAAAAAACTGGAATTAGCCAGTGGCAACTCAACCATTTCAACAGAATTAACAAATGCTTACCAAGTGTCTACCACGAGCCAAGCAACACACTGGGCCCCGGGGTGTCTGAGATGAGAAGGCAATGCAAGGGGTCTCTGGGTAAAAGATACAGTCCCAGCTCCAGTACCTGGTGACAGACCTGGGAGCTGAGACAAGTCATTTCTCCACCTACGTCTGTATTTTTACCCGTAAAACAGAGACGACAGTATAAACGTACACTGTAAACTGTTGAGTGCTGTGCATTCAGTGGCACATCTAACACTGGCTTTGACAAGCCCCTCCTTCATCACTGAGATCACTGGGGGTGCCTGAGAGGTGGCCCTCGTTCAGGGTCAAGTGGAGTGGGATTCCACATGACCCCAAGCTGCAGTACTTTGCTCTTTCATGAAAGGAAACCAGAGGTCTTCGGAGGCCATGCAGGGAAGGCAGGACTGGTTGTCATTGTCAGAAAGCACAGAAGTGCTCAGAGGTGGGGCTACTGTTGGTGCAGGGGAAGGGGCAAGCAAAGCAGAGGGTATGAGGAGGCCGAGCCCCGACAAGTTGAGGGTGCAAAGCAAGAACTGATGGGAACAGGAGGAGTCCGTAAAATATCTTTGCATCCATCACCCAAATTTACCCAACAAATCTTTTCTTTGAGAGCCTACCGTGTGCAAGGCACTGTTCTAAGCAAAGGTGTGGAAGAACAGACAACGTCCCTCATCACAGAGCTTATCACCAACCAGGCTGTCTAGTAACCCTTGGTTATTTAAATCGGGAAATGACATGTTTTTATAAAACAAAAATTCACTTTTATGAGATAAAATTCTGCGGAGGGCTAGAATAATCTTTGGTGAATTTATTAATGGTCACTTATTGTTTCCCTAATCACCCTCGGAAGTGTTCCCTTGTGGTGAAAGACTCAATGTGAAGAAATCAATGACTACTACCGCAGCAAAACACTGGTAGGGCACTGAAAGGACTAGATGAGCTAAAGAGTGGCTTTTAAAATACTTACGTAGCAAGAGCAGGAGGGCAAAAATTATTAGTGCAATGGCTGCGGGTCCCAGGCCAACGTAGGAGTCCCTCAGATTTTCCATGCAACCGCCACCATCCAGACACTTACAGATTGTGAGTTTAAGCACCTGCTTTTCAGGGCAACTGAAGCCCTGGCTATCCGAAATCAGAAACTGAATTTCACATCTCCCAAGCTTTTGTTCCTTTTGTTGCAGTAGCACACTGGTACCTACAAGGGGAGAGGAGGGCAAAAGGAAACAGAAATGAGTGATTACCAAGGAAGGGGTGAACGGAAACATTCTTTAATTACTGATAATATTTAGCTCCAGTGAGAAGCTTTATTCTTGCTTAGCTTCTCTACTGAATTCACATCGTGGGCTTGTTAAAATTAGTCCAGATCCCCCCAAGAGGCAGGTTGAAAGCAAAGAATCGGATTTGGACACATCTTCCTTTTATGATGGTTAATTTTAACAAATATGTGTGATGTCTACCAAATGCTAGAAACTGTTCTACGTACTAGGAATACAGTAACAAACAAGTGGCAAGTTAAATGACATTTCCATTAAATGACCTTTATTTTACCATCTTGAAAAAACTTTGTTAAGGCAATTTTCAAACAGACAATAATAGAAGAGTGTAGTTAACGCTTCCCCAGCTTTAGTAACTTTCAACAATGGGCCAATCTCATTTTATCTAGTCTCCTCCTTTTTGTTCCTGATACTGTATCACTATAGATTCAAAATTTTGAAAAATTTCAAATCTACAGAAAAATTGTAAGAATATTACAATGAATACCCTTACCCTTTGTGACTTGTTTACATTTTATAACAATATTTTCTATCCACTCACTTTTTTCTGAACTATTTGCAAGGAAGTTGCAGATATTATGGTACACACATCAGCACGTACCTTCTAAGACCAAGGGACATTAGCCCTCTCAAAAAATTTAGTACTGATATAACTCATAGTCAAACTTTTCAATTGTTGCAATAATGCCCTTTATAGTTCTCGTTCTTTCTGTTTTTTTTTTTTTTTCCTTGATCCTGCATTCAGTCAAGAATTATGCATTGCTTTTAGTTGTCACCCTAATCTCTATGAATGGTCTAGGTCAGTCCCACCCTTTTTTTTGGCCATCAAGACCTTGCATTTTTGAAGGCCACCTGTTTCAAAGGATGCTCTGCAGTTTGAATTTGTCTGATTATTTCCTCATGATTGGATTCAGGTTACACATTTCTGGCAAGAACATGACACAAAGTGTTGTATGAATGAACTTCTATCTTACTATTTTTTTAATGTGACTGATGATTATTTTCAAATTTTTCTTTCACATGAATAAAAATAATCACCAGTTTTCATGTGAGTAAAAATAATGATCAGGTACAAGAGCTTAAAAATTATTTTGACATATTCATAACATTTATTTAAAAATAATAAACTTGCAAGACATGTAAACCCGGATGAACACAAAGATAAAAATGAGGTGTTTAGGGTTTGTTTTGTTTTGTTTATTTTTAGAAGTAAAAAACAGCCTCTTTTCATTTTAAGGTCCAAATTTTATGGAATTTGATCTGCATAGCTAGAATATAGTTATTAAATCATCCTCAAAGCTTTGGAGAAGGGAGAAAAGCATCTAGTCATTTAAAGGAGTAAAAACTCATGAAACAAAAAATCCATGAAAACATGGCCTGGAAGAAGAACATAATTAAATTTGTGATTGGCAGGCGCCTGGGTGGCTCAGGTGGTTAAGTGACTGCCTTCGGCTCAGGTCATGATCCTGGAGTCACAGGATCGAGTCCTGCATCGGGCTCCCTGCTCCGCAGGGAGTCTGCTTCTCCCTCTGACCCTCCCCCCTCTCATGTACTCGCTCTCTCTCATTCTCTCTCTCTCAAATA